GCCGGCCCCGCCCCCTCACCCCGGGGCGCCGGCCCGCAGCTCCCGGCCTGGGCGCCTCACCTGCGTGGCCCGCTCCAGCTCCACCTTGAGCTGCGCCAGCCGCAGCGTAGTCTCCGTCAGGGCCTCGCGAAGCCGCTCATTCTCCCTGCGCAGCTCCGAGTACAGCTGAGGGCACAAGAGAGGGCAGGGTCAGGCGCGGGGAGCCCGTCCCTGAGGAGGCCTTGCCACCACCCCGGCCGGTGGGGGTCCCGCACCTTCCTGAAGCCCCCGTCCGGCTCCTCCGGGGGCAGCTCGGGCTCTGGGCTCAGGTCCTGCTGTGCGCGCAGCCTCCGGGCTGGCAGGCCACCGTCGGCAGGGCTGCCGAGCAGAGAGGCCGCTGGGAGGGGTCCGGGTCGGTGGGTCCCGGCCCTGCCCCGGGGCCCACGCTCCCTCCCCCTACCTGCACTCCGGGCTGCGGTCCACGGGCTCTGCCTCCTCCCCCTGCCAAGGCGGAAGGGAGAGGGCTTTCAGCCCCAGGACGGCGTCCCCAGGACCCAGGCCGGCCGCCCCCAGCCCGACCATCAGGCCTGCTCACCTCCGCAGGCCCCCGCCGCTCCCTGCCGGCTTTGCGGGGCTCCCTGACAGTCTGTGGTCCCTGGCCCTGGCCATCGGGCGCCTCTGCTGGGGGTGAGGCGCCATCAGCCTGGGCACCCATGGGAGCCCTTTCGCAGGGTGGGGTGCCCAGGGCCTATACCCCAGGACGCAGGAGGGGTGCTTCCCGGAGCAAAGCTCACCTCTCTGTGCAGGGCCCTCGGAGTGCTCCACTCCCGGGACTCTGGGCCTCTGGGAAGGGTCCTGCCAGGGAGGAGGTCGGGTCAGTCCCAGGCGCCCCGCACCACCTGCTGCCCGCCACCTGCCCCGGCTCACCAGGCCCCGCAGGGACGCCCTCTCCACCTCAGCAGACTTTCCCGCCACCTTCTCCGCTTCTTTCAAGTCCGTCAGAGTCACACCCTGCCAGGTGGAGGAGACAAGGACAGCGCCCGCCTCTGTCAGGACTCGAGTCCAGTCCCAGCCTCCTCCCTCCGACCCGGGGTCCAGCGCCCACCCACCCACACCTGTGTGGACCTCCGAGACTGGCGCATGAGGCGGGAGCGTGCTTTCCGCTGGGATTCGGACTCCTCATCCCGCACAGGCATCTGGTAGGACCTGAAGGAAGGACATTGGCCAAGGAGGGTCTGGGGTTCCGGCCCGCTGCCCCTGCAGACACCCTCCCTCAGGGGCCCAGGGACTCGTGGCAAGGTGGATGCCTCCCCGCTGCGGACAGCTCCTCCTCCTGGCCTCCTCACCTCCTGCGGTCGCGGGAGTCCACTGGGGCTGGGGCAGAGGCTGGGGGCACATGCGGCTTCACGGGGGGTCCCGGCTCCCTGCTGGGGCAGGAGTAGCGTCACCTAAGGCGGGAGGGGGCCTGGCAACCTCAGCCCTGTCAAATGGGTTCACTTGGGAAGCAGAGCCCAGACACCGGAGACCCGCCCGGAACCCAGGCCCGGGTCCGGCAGCAGAGAAGAGCATGAGGAGCACAGCCCTAACGGCACGTGCGCAGGGAAGGACCCAGCACTTGGGATCCGAGAGGGAGCAGGACGGGCCAGAGGCTGCACACGCTGGACTCCGGGACGGGGCTGCAGTGGTCTCGGTGGGGGGGCCCCGGGGGAGGCCCAGGGGAGTCAGGGAGGGGGACAGGGACGCAACGGGGGACGAGGCCAGATCACCAGGGCCTGGAAGTTCCATGTGAGCTTTTCCGTGACACAGCAGATGGAAACTGAGGCAGTGAGTCGGGGGCAGGAGCAGGACCCAGCCCTGCCGTCCACCCCGGGACTCACAGGGGAGAGGGCTCCGGCGCCTTCCGGGAGGGCGTGGGGGTAATTCTGGCAAGACGGGGCTCCCTGGCCTGTGGAGAGAGAAGGCGGGTGTTCTCCTCGTCGGGACAAGCGCCTGGCCCCGCCATCGCAGGCCACCCACCTGAGCCGCGGTCCCTTCTAGCCAGGACGAGGAGGCCGAGCGCTGCAGCCCCAGCCCGGCGGCCGCCTCGGCCCCCCGCCTATCTGTAGGACCCAAGGCCCCAGAGCTCCTGGTCTTCTGGAGGCCAAAGCGCTGGGAGGAGGGGGCGGCGCTGGGCAGCTGGAAGGGACGAAGGTCTCCGTCACCGAGAAGCACCCATCCCCTCAGAGCCCACAGGGCCCTCCCCAAAGGTACAGGGCCATGGCAGCTGCCACCAGCCCCGGAGAGGCGGGGCTGTCCAGGAGGCCAGCGAGCCAGGTTTCCACTGACCAAGCCGGGGAAGCAACAGGCTTCCACATCCCTGGCCCGCCTCGGCCCCACTGCCCTGCAGGGACAGACTCACCACAGGGCTCTGAGGACTGGCACGTGGCGGAGAGGACACACCATTGAGGGCTCTGGGCTCTGCAGGGGCCGGCTCTGTAGGGACAAGGGGAGGTCGCGCAATGTGCCAGCTGTCCCTGAGGACAGGAAGGCCCGCCCCCTCCCAAAGACCTGGGGGTCCAGCCCGGCCTGCTCCCTCAGATCACTCGTTGCCTCCCTGGCCCCTACCGGGACGGCCCTCGTCCCCCTCCTCCTCGTCCCGGATGGGCGGCCTCCCTGCCCCTCCAGGCCTGCGCTCCTTGGACAGGTCCTGCAGGGAGATCTTCTCGCGGCTGCTCAGGCGGCACACGGAGCTCCTGCAGGGGGAGCAGGTGTTGGTGTCCGCGACGTCTGCGCCGGGGAGCTCCGCCCGTCCACCCCGCCAGGCTCTTCCTTCCTACCGCCTGTGCTTGCTGCTGGCCGGCACCTGGGGCTCTTGGCCTCTGCTCTGTGTGGCTTCCTTTTGGTTGCGAAGCTGTGAGGAGGGAAGAGGCTGCTGCACACACCTCTGGGGTCCCGGGTCCCCTCCCACGTGGTGCTGCCACGCACGGCTGTGCTGCCTGGGCCTCCCGCAGGGAGCCGGGCGCTGTCCGAGGCCCCACAGGGGATAGGTCTTCCCAAGGCCTTCCCACCCGCAGGTCACCGAGGTCTGCCCCTCCCTCCTGCGCAGCACACCCAGGATCCCCGGCCCAGAGGACTCAAGTAGGCCCACAGAAAGGCACGCACCCTGCCCCTTCCAGAGAACTGCTGTGGGACACAGGTCCCCAGGGGAGTTCTCCCCCGCCCAGGCTGGCTCCGGTGACACCCGGGCCACCTTGCCAAGCACGGAGACTCCAACCCAGCGGGAGCCGTGCCTCCAGCCCTGCACTCTGTCCCCCAGAACAGCCTCCCTGGGGGACGTCAGGGCGAAAAGCCCAGCTCGAGTCCAGGCGGACAGCACTCGGGCTCAGCACCAAATGGGAAGCGCTGTGCCCCAGGCGCCACGGCCCGCCGGCCCGGCTGGGCCCTCCCCTGGGCTGCATCCAGGGGCAGAAGGTGTCGGGACGCATGTCCTCCTCCCCGCCAGACTCACGTCCTCCTGCTTCTGAGCCAGTTCCTCCAACAGGCTCAGCACCTCTTCATCCGCCAGGTCACAGGGACGCTGCCCCTGGGTGGGGAGGAGGAGTGGGTGACAGGCGCCCAGGGCCCGCCCGCCCTCCGCGCCCAGGCCCAGCCTTACCGCGTGGGTCAGTGAGTCCATGCCCCCGCCGTGCTCGGCCAGCAGGCGACACGCGTCCTCCACACCCCAGTGCGCGGCCGCGTGCAGGGGCGTCCAGCCATCTCCATCCCGGAGCTCGGGGTCATAGCCAGCCTGCAGTAGCAGCCTGAGGCCGGGGAGACAGGGTCAGGGCCCAAAGAAGGGCCTCGGGGCCAAAGCTGGTTCCGGCAGCACCCGCTGTTACACAGGCAGACGCTCCAGGGCCCCTGGTAAGGGCCCGTGCCGGTCTCTCCCCAGGGACCCCGAGGCCCCGGCAGCCTCCAACCCTTCCGGGACCAGCAGCTGAGTCAATCCTGGCAGGGGGGCTTCAGGACCTGGGTCCTCCCACCCACAGGGCCTTCCATCCCGGGGTGGGCTGAAGGAGGCTGCCCCGCCAGCCCCAGGCCTACGAGGACAATGAGACCCCAAAGGAGGCGGCTCCCAGGAGTGTGGTGCTGCCCCTGCCCAGGACACCAGCGCCGTCTCTGGCTAACTTGGGGGTGGCAGCCAGGAATGAGGCTCAACTGCGCACAGGCTCCCCGACCTCAGAATGACCTGACCCCAGGTGTCAGTGATGCAGAGGCTGAGAAGCCCTGGCTTGGCCAGTGTCTACCAGAAGACGGCCACAGGCCACTCAGCCTGGGCAAAGGCGGGGCTACAGATCCACAGAACCGCCAGGCATTGTGGCACAGACTGTAATCCTACCACTCTAGGAAGCCGAGGCAGAAGGATCACAAGTGTGAGCCCAGTAGGCAACTTAGCAAACAGGAAAAGAAGGGCCGGGTGTGTAGCTCGGTGTGAAGGCCCTGGGTTCCACCCCAGTGCCAAACTAAGAGTCCAGGGAACTTCACAAACAGCCTGGGCAAGTGCACCCGTCCTTGGAGAGCCAGGGCGGCGCAGAGCGGCCGCGTGGCTGGCTGTGATGCTTCTCCGCACCAAGGAGCTGTGCCACGCTGACCTCCCTCCGCCTCTGCTCCAGCCAGGGAGGCTTCCGAGCTTCTCAGGGTCGCCCTGTCCCCTCTGGCCGGGGAGCAGCAGGCAACCGCTCCTCAGTCACCTCCTCCCCTCCCCGCTCTGCGCTGACCGCCTCTCACACCAGCCCCGCCTCGTCATGCCTGTGTTCCCGACCCAGCTCAGCTCCTAGGCAGCAATGAAACCACAAAGAAAGGAGTTCCTTCCTCCAGTGCTGGGCTCAACGCAGGGGCTCACACACTGGACTGTGCTGGCACGGAGCCGCACCCTCAGAGGCCATTTCCAGATCTGACATTCAGTTCCGTGACGGAGAACAAGGCTGCCCACAAACATCAACTCGTTCTCCCTTTAGTAACCACGTACAGTTTTCAGGTGGACACATGGTCACTCGGCTAAGGTGGACGCTCCTAGCACCCTCACATGTGACATGCATCTGTCTAGTAAAGGAGACCCCTGCATGAAGTGAGACGCACCACTTCCGACACTGTTCAAGGGTTAGACAAGATGTGTGTGCTGGCACACACCTGTCACCCCAGCTACTTGGGAGGCTGAGGCAGGAGGATCAAACGTTCTAAGCTAGCCTAACAACTTAGTAAGACCTGTATCAAAATAAAATGTTACAAGGGCTGGGGATGCAGCTCAGCCTCAGAGGGTTTGCTCAGCAGGCGCAAGGCCCCAGGTTCAACTACTCCCTGCGTGGCAACAGGAAAAAACAAGACAGGCATTTGCCCCCTCCTCCTCCCCACGTTCTGCCGACTGGGATCGATGTGGGGGCAGGAGAGAGACAGTCGTGACCCCGGGAAGGGGACAGCCGCCGAGGAGGGCCAGAGGAAGCCCCCAGATGGTGCTGAGGATAATGGGAAAGGAGTACACACTGCGATACCTTAAAACACATCTCTTCCAAACAATCCAGACTTCAAGTATGTAAAATAAAAAGTACCAGAGAATTAGGCCGACTCCACCGTCACAGCAAGAACGGTGACAGGTGCCTCCCGGAACCGAGCAGGACCAGCGGGCAGACGCTGCTGGGATCCACAAAGTTTGGACAGCACGACAGCAGCACTAGCCACTAGAGGTGGGGACAACAGTGGCCAGGCACTGTCCCTTCTCAGCACACACGCGGGGCATGCAGAAAACCGCCACAGGCTGAAAAAGCTGAAATCACTTGGCTCTATTTTCTGACTAAACCACAACTAAACCAGAGAATTGGTAATGGAATAACTAGAAAATCCCACATACTTGGAAATCATGGACACACTCCTAACAATCCACAGGCCAAAGAAGAAAACGCATGGAGCAAGGCATGGTGCTGCACACCTGCTAAGCCCAGCACTCTGGGAGGCTGAGGCAGGAGGATCAAAAATTCAAGCCAAGCCTGAGCAACTCAGTGAGATCCTATCTCAAAATAAAAAATAAAAGCACACATGGGGAGTATGCCTGTAATCCCAGTATGCAGGAGGCTGAATCAGTAATCAGGAGGATTACTACAAGTTTGACGCCAACTTCGGCTACAGAGTGAGTCCAGTGCCAGCTGAAATTACGTAGTAAAGATTCTATCTCAAAAAAGCAAAAAAATAAACCAACAGGGCTGGGGATGCAGCTCAGTGAAGGCCCTAGGTTCAATCCGCAGCACTGCAAACCAACAAGAGGAAGCCCATCAGTTACAGAATGTTTCACACTGTCTACAACGAGAGAGATCCACTGTCCATGGCACAGCGAGCGCGTGGGGTCGCCAGCCCGAGGCGGGCTGCAGGGAGCCGCAGAGCCCCGGCCGCACGCTGCAAAGGAACAACGAGGCCCGGCGCGGAGGAACACAGGGCGCTCACCTCATCACCTCGATGTAGCCCTTGGCGGCGGCCACGTGCAGGGCGGAGGCCCCCGTGCGCGGGTGCCGGGCCTCGGGCATGGCGCCCCCGTTCAGCCAGCACCGCGTGTCGTGAAGTAGCAGCTCCTCCTCGGCCCGCTTGGCGGCCTCCACATCCACACCTGGAGGGTGACAACAGGCGAGGGCGGGCTTGGTCCTTGGCTGGGGTGCCCAGGCTCCCCCGCCCCGCCCCAGCACACAGGAGGCCTGGAGCAGCCCACAGCTCCCTGCAGCGCTCTCCGTAGTCCCGGGGCCACTGAGCAAATCCCAGTCACTGCTGGGGGCCCGGCCCAGCAGGCAGAGATCTCAGGGCCACCTTTCTTATCAGAAAGCCCCATGTTTACTGAGCACAGCCGGTGTCTGGTGGCCCCTCCGTCCCCGGCCGACACACCCACACCCCAGCATCCTCACGCACTTAGCAGCCTCCTTGGCCCCTCCCAGCAGGCAGAGCCCACTGCCCCTGCAGTGGCAGCCCTCGGGGCTAGTGATTTAACGTGGGGGGAGGGGAGGGCAGGACTGAGCATCCTGCTTGGGGCGGGCATCCCCGCACTCTCCAGGGCCCCCGAGAAGCTGGCTTCCTTGTGTGCTCTACACCGAGTTGGTGTAACAGGCGCTCCCCAGGGAAGGTCATGATCACGTTATTTCCTCAGCTGAGGAATTTCTCACACTGAGGGGAGCGGCGGACAGCTGAGTTGTCTCCTGCTGAGCCGCCACTCACAGCCACCAAGGGGAGATGCACCCCCACCAGAAAGGGAAGCCCGTGTGTGCCTGGTTGTGCGCGTGCGTACACGTGTGTTTTGCGGTGAGGAGATCAAACCCAGGCCTGTGCACACCAGGCAAGTACTCTGCCACTGAGCTCTATACCCCTGCCTGCAAGAACAGGCTTTTTTATTAATCACATGCTGATGATATTTGGGTATACTGGGTTAAGATATATTATTACTTTTTTTTTTTTTTTTTTTTTTTGAGACACAGTCTCACTTACCAGTTTAGGCTGGCCTTGAGCTCACTTTGTAGCCCAGGCTGGCCTCGAACTCTAAACGATCCTCCTGCCTCAGCCTCCCAAGTGCCAGGATTACAGGCGTACACCACTGAGCCCGGCTTATTATTACTATTGGGTGTGGCTTTTTTCCACTGTGCAGGGGACTGAACTAGGGCATGCCCGGCAAGCATTCTACCACTGGACCACATCCCAGATCTAAATATGACATACTGTTAAAATTAATTTCACCTGTTAGCTTTTATTGTTTTAAATCAACTCGGAGAATACTTTTGTTGTTTTTGGAAGACCTTGCCATATAGTTCAGGCTGGCCTCATGGGGACTGTCCTGCCTCAGCCTACCGAGGGCTGGAATGACAGCTGTGCACCTGTGGCTCCCACTGGACTGCAGCCGGCAGCAGAGGCACAGAAGCGCATGTCCTCACCCGGGTTAAAAACCAAGTCCGGCAGGCCCGACAGGAGCCGCTCTGCACCTCCCGCATCACTCCCTTCCCCTGCCCAAAGGAGCCACCGCCTCAGGGCTGCATCCCGCACGCGTGCTCTGCTCACACTCTGCACATCCCGTAATCTTCTGTCAGAAAACCAGGGACGGACCCCCGGAGACGCGGTCCTGGCGCCCGCGCCAGCACACGCCGAGCTCCCGCGGGGCCGCGGCTGGCGCCACCTGGTGGCACGCGGCAGCCCGGCCCCGGCCCCAGGGAGCCGGCCCCCTGCCCGAGCGGCGCGGAGGCGGAACTGCTCTCCCTGCGCGGGGTGGCCTCCCGTCCACAGCGGGCCGCGCTTTCTCTGGCAGGGCTGCTAAAATGAACACGCTGCAGATGTGCCGACGCACTATTTGAAGGCGTGTGACTGGGTGGCACTCGGGGCTTTCTCGGTGTTGCGGACCGCCCGCTGCTGTCGCGCTCCTGGTGTTTCTGTCACCCGCGGTGACACTCTTCGCCCGCCGCGCTTCGCGGTCCACACTGCCGCCCCCGGTCCAGCAGCGCCATCCACTTCCTGTCCCCAGGGATGTGCCTGTTCTGGGGGCGTCCCGCGCTCCTGTGCTGTCCCTGGCTGTCCTCCCCCGCTCTGAGGCGCAAGGACTGCGGCCGAGCCACAGGCGCCGCGCCGCACCCTGCCCTGCCCGGAAGTTCACAGCCTCCTCTGCCCACTCCTCAGACATCACTATCCTGCGGTTCTCTGGGGCGCAGGCTCCAGCCTCCTCGGCCTGCGGAGAGCTCAGTATCGGTCACCCTCGTCTGCTCCAGGAGGCCGAGGGGCACAACGGCCAGGACGAGAACTCCGGCTTTCAGCCACCACCACCCACGCCCAAGGGCTTCCCACAGAGGCTGCGATGGTTCCCATAACTCCCCCTCGCCAGCACAGGGACTAGGGGCCGCGACTCTGCCAGGCCTCCAGGCTTTGAGCAAGGCACCCTCACCCACCCTTCCGGGAGCCGGGATTCCTAGCGAGGCTGCCTCAAGCCTTCGAAAGCCCAAGCCCGCCCACCCAGTTCTGTGCCCGCGCCAAGCAGCCAGAGGCCCCTTCTGTCGGGACACAGGGCGAGGTACTCCCGCAGCGACCTGGCGTCCCAGTGCCACGGATCTGCTGGCATCCGTCTCCGCTCCTCACCCACGTGGTTCCAACGTGACAGAGCTCACAGCTGGCTCCAGGGACGGGTACATCTCCAGGCCCGGCCGCCTCCGCGGCAGTGACGGGGCACAGGGGCTGCCAGGGCACCAAGGTGGCCGAGGAGCACGAGACAGAACCACAGCTCGACTCCTGAGCAGCGGGCGTCCTAGCTCTGCTGCAACGTCAGCCTGCACTGCTAGAGAATTCGCCTCAGCAAAGGGGGCGCACTGAGGATGAAGAGGTGCTCCGACTCCCTCCGTGCCCCTGGACTGACTATGCTTGCAATCTACATCCCGCGCGGACTTCATTTATACAGGCACATAAACCTCCCTATGCGAAAACCGTGGCTGGGCCGGTGGTGCACACCGGTCACCCCAGTACAGGGGGAGACTGCAGCATGAGGGCCGCAGGCCCAAGCCCAGCACAGGCAACTTGGCATCTTAGCAAGACCCTGTCTCAAACTAAAAACTACAATAAACAAGGGCTGGGGATGGAGCAACGCCTAGTAACACAAAAAATAACCAATACACAAATAAAAGAATTGCGGGAAAATACGCATAAAATTTACCATCCTAAACACTAAGCGTGCAGCTTGGTGTTTCAGTACAGTCACACTTTGATCACCAAAGCCGCCCACCCCAGAACTTCGCCAGGCCAGCGCCGAAACTCTGCACCTTCTCTCCGACCTCAGCTCCCCCTCTTCCTGGGCCCTGGCAACCACCCTTCGCCTGTCTCTGATCTTTTTGTCTCCACAGTCTTGGCGGGCCTGGGTATCTCACGAAAGTGGAGCCACACCCCGTCCACCTGTGGCGCTGGCTTCCTTCGCCCAGCACACGTCCTGGAGCTCCTGCGCATCGCAGCGTGGGCCCGGCCCACGCCGTCTCAACACTGACCGCCCTGTGTACATCACACTTTGCTCGCCCACGCCGCGAAGGACGGCTGGTTCCTTCCACCTCCCTCCAGGAACACAGGTGCAGAGCTGCTCCTGTGCCTCCCGCGACAGACGGTGCACATCCAGTCCCGGGAGAAAGCCGTCCCTGGCTCAGCACAGAGCCACCCAGACTGTCCTCCGGGAACGGCAGGCCCAGGGGAGCAGCCAGTGCAGCAGGGATATCCCGCGGGGATGCCCCACACCCTCGGAGGACTGGCCACCTCCTGGAGACGAGGTCCCAAGGGGCAATGGTCTTGGCTTCTGTGTTACCAGGCCCAGACCACTGACCCCACCGATGCCCCTCGTGAGGGCGGGCGTCATGGGGACAGACTGACGGGCCTTGTGACCAGGGGGCAGTGGTCTTCACAGAGGCCCTCCCTGCCAGGAGCTCAGGTCCTCCGGGAGCCCCTCTGGCCTCTGCTCATGGCTGAGCCCACAAGCCAGCACCCCCACCAACACACCCTTCCTCAGCCTCTCCCTGCCGCTCGGAGCAGCCGATGCCGGCTGTGGGCGACTTCGCGGCACAGGGAGTCAGAGTCCGGGGACGGCCTAGTCGCCACTCTGGGGCCTCAGTGAGGCCCAGCGAGGCGTCCACTCTACGGACGGCTTCTTCCCGAGAGGCAGGACACCTCACAGGAGAGCCGAGGGCGCACCTCAGCGCCGAGCCCACAGCGAGGGCCACACAACCGCACCTGGCCCTGACAGGTTCCAGCCAGAGCCGGGGCCGGGTGGGGCACAGCTCAGCCTCGAGGCTTGCCCGACACACGCCAGGCCGGGCGCGTCCCCGCAGATCCTCGCCCGAGTAGCAGAGCTGAGTCTCGCGGCGGGGAAGGCGGCAGGGTCCACACTGAGCGGGTTCTAACAGCCGGCGGGGGGCTGACCCAGGCAGAGGAGATGAAGGCGCCCTGCAGCTCGAGGGGCGCCCAGGACTGGACGACACTGAGGCCTGCCGTGGGCACGCGCGCAGCAGCAGGTCCCTGCCTTGGGGACATGAGCTGCACACAGGGAGGTTACTCGTCTGCCACCACCCGCGCCGGCCCCGGCCAGCCGTGCAGTCTGGGCGGGGACGGGAAGTCACAGGCTGAGGGACCGTCCTGCGAGACGCCCCGGAGGGGGTCGACTGAAAGCCGACTGCACCGCTGAGGGCTGGGAACGGTGGTTTACAACTGCTATGGTGTTGAGTATACACTGTAACTACCCTAAAAGCTACTGACGGGTGGGCGCGCCGGCGCACACCTATCATCCCAGCACTCGGGAGGCTGAGGCAGGATTGCTGAGTTCCAGGCCGGCCTGCACTCCATAGTGAGACCCTGTCTCAAAAAACCAAGAATCGAGGCCTGGGGATATAGCTCAGCGGCACAGTGCCTGCCTAGCAAGCACAAGGTCATGAGTTCAATTCCCAGTACCAAAAAAAAAAAAAAAAAATTCAAACAAAAAAATCCCCACTGATTTGTGCACTTTAAATGCGTGAACTGCAAGGTACATGAAAAATATCTCTAAAAGCTGTTTGGGGAGGGAAGTAGGGGAAGGAGAAGTAAACGAATTTGGATGCCATGCGTACTTGGACCCACGCCCTCCACGAGCGCAGGCATCATGCACTGCAAGCGCACACTAACAGAAGTCCCAAACAGACACTGGCGTCTGGGCAGAGGCCTGTGAGCACTCCTCACGCGGCTGAACTTTCCCGTCAGGCCCCCGTGCCAGCGCCTGCCCCCTGCCTTGCCATCTCGGGCCACAGCACACAGAAGCAATGCCAGAAACCCGCCGGGCCGTGGGTCTGCTCTTCGTCACCCCCCCTCGGGCAGAGGGCACCCCGCGCTGCTCTCTCAGGCCCGCCGAGCCCACAGCCCCACACGCTGCGCCGGTCACCCCAGCTGTGACCACGGCGACCATTTTGGGACACAGTGGACTTCACCTGCAGCCCCGAGAACGGCCCACCCGCACCCAGGGCTCGTGGGGGCATCGGTCTCCCTGCCCAAGCCGCTCCTGGCCTCTGCTTCCAGGCCCTCCACAGCAAGCTGAGCTGCAGGGAGAGCCTGCTTCATCAACACCTTCTCCCGCCTAGAAGAGACATGGCCAGACCACTTCAGGGGTTCTGGGGCCCCCGAAGAACCTCAGAGCTTGGGGTCCAGTCCCCTCGGGGAGCACCTCCCGAGGTTCCGAGTGCACTCCCGGCCCCGCCCGCCACCCCCTTGGTCGCTACTTCCCCGAGTGACCCTGAGGCAGGCACCCCTCCGCAAGGCAGGGAACTGAGGCAGGGCACCGTGAACCCCATCAGACACAGTGCGCCTGCAAGCCCAGGCAGAGAGCCCCAACGCACTCCGCCGTACCCACAGGCCCACCTCGCCGGGCAATCTCCGCCTTCAGCAGCCCCTCCACAGCGTCCGACTCGGCCAGGTCCAGGGGCAGGTCCCCGTCACTGTTCACAGCCGCAATGTTGGCCCCATGGCTCAGGAGGTACCTGGGGACGGAGAGGTCAGGGCTGCTGCCGGCACAGCAGCCGCTCTGGGTCCTGCCTAAGCACCCGCCTCACCTGGCGATGTCCAGGTAGCCACAGGAGGCGGCCACATGCAAGGGTGTCCAGCCCTCGTTGTCTGCTTGGTTCACGGTGGCACCCTGCTCCACCAGGAAGCGCACCACCTCCAGGTTCTCGTCGATGCAGGCCTGTGGGGAGGAACAGGCGGTGACCCTCGGGGCTCAGCACGCCGGCCCCCTACAGCCCAGCAGGAATGAGGAGGTCAGGGCTGAGTGAGACACCACTGCTGGTCCACGGCAGGGTGTGCTGGGGGCCAGGAGCGGACCCGGGGCAGGGAAGAGATGGGGGCTTCTCCTCAGGTGTGGGCTCCCAAGGGACGGAACCCTGTCACAACCTGCAGGACAGGCGCCCAGGCTCGGCCCTCCGCCCTCAGAGCCAGCAGGCCCAGAGAGGGGCAGGCTGCACCAGGCCTCAACACACCGCAGACTCGCTCCAGGAGCGGACCCTGCGGGCAGCCCAGGCGGTGTGGGCTCCAGAAGTCGCCGCCAGGCCCCAGACAGAAGAGGGTCCCAGGCAGGGCTGCCCAAGAGGTGGGTGTAACTCCGGGCTGCAGCCAGACTGAGGGCCTGCTCTGAGCAGGCACAGCCTGAGGGGCTCGCGGGCCCGTGTCTTTAGGGACGCTGTTCCTGAAGGCTGGCGAGGCTGGGGAGACCCAGCCCTCACCACCGTTGCACTGCATGCGGGAGCCGGCCGGCCGGATGGGCTCTGGGACCTCAGCTGGGTCCTCAGGGCTGATTAACCCTCCAGCTCCCTCACCTCCCCTTCACCACCTATCTGGAGGAGGGGAGGAAGCCACCAGGGCCAAGAGCATGAAGTCATGGAAACTCGGGCTGCGAGAGGGGGGCCGCACGTGCCCTGGGAACGGGATGAACTCTGGGCTCCGTTTATTTCTACTCGGTTGCCATGGCAATGGGGGGGGCAAGGAAGGAGCTGGGCCTTTCCCTTTCAAGGACCTGGCCCAGCACTACAAGCTGCCTGGGGCCTGGGCACCAGGGACACATGCGTCCAGGTCCTGATCCCCACCCGGCCCCTGGGATGGGCCCTGCCTCTTCCCTCAGACCCAAAGGTCTAGCGCTCTGGTCTCTCTGTTCAGACCTGAGAACCCGGGGTCCCAACCTGGGCTCAACAGCACGTGCCTGTGATCCCCACCTTTGGGAGGCTGCAAGGGCACGTGCCTGTGAACCCTGCATCTGGGAGGCTGCAGCAGGACCATTGGAAGTTTTAGTCTGGACGGTACAATTTAACAAGACCTTGCCTAAAACTGAAGGGCTGGGGATGTAGCTCCCTGCAAAGGCTCTGGGTTCAATCCCCAGTAGCGCATGCAACACAACGCACAGGCCAGCATGAATACACACGCAGAATCTTGGCTCCCAGGTCCTTCTACCCCACTCCTCACCCAACACCAGCCATCAATACACAAAACGACGAGGGTTAGGGGGCCAGCGACACACTAGCCTTGCCAGGACAGATGAACACCTCAGGTAGAGGCTGAGGCAGGAGGACTGAGAGACCACACCACAGTAGGGGACTGATGCTGGGGAACAGTCCCAGGGAGAGAGACCGGCTGAAAGTCTGGAGTCACTCAGACCAACTGCCCCTGGTTTCGGGGAGCAAGGGTTTTTCTGGGTCCCAGGCTTTTCAGTGCTGAAACCAGGCCAGTCCTGGGCAAACGGCATAAGCTGGTTACCTCACGCCCGGACTGCATCTAAATCCCAGCTCCCCACTTGCTGGCCCTGTGAGCTGAGGCAGGACCCTCCCCTCTCCGAATCTCAGTGGCCAGGCCCTCAGAAGGCCTTGGAGTGAATTCGCCAAGGTCCACCATGGTGGGAGGAAGTCCCACCTGACAGGCAAGGCCAAAGAGATGGTCTGGGCCTCCGGAGGACCCTGAGGAAGGGGCTCAGAGTGAAGCGCAGGGCTAGAAGCCGCTGTAGAAGAGGTCAGGAGGGCCAGGGCAAAGGGATGGGGAGGGAGAGGGGCGGGGAAATACCAAAGCCTGAGCCCTCTCCTGGGCTGGTGGAGGACAGCGCCCTGGGCCTCGGGGAAGCAGGGCCCCTCCAGGTAGAGGGCTGGCCCAGGCAGCACCACCCTGCGAGCACCTACAAGGCATCAGGCCCTGTTTCCCACATGTGCCCTACCTTTCCCCAGAGCCCTGCTGGAGAGACGCACTACTGGCCCATTCTACAGGTGGAAATCGGAGCCACGGGACAGACATCAGAACTTGGGACGGGTGGACGCTGTCTCCCGTCTTCTGAGAATCTGAAAACGGCCCTGTCAAGACCACCTCGGCAAGCGCAAGGTCGTGAGTTCGGTTCCCGGTACCGCAGAAAAACCAAAAAAAAAAAAAAAAAAAAAAAGACCACCTCAGCCAGGCTCCCTCGCCAGGGTCCCCTCTGGCCTCACCAGTGGCCAAACGACAGGGGTTTTAGCAAGAAGGGCGGGCACACGATCACCGAAGGCAGCGATGCGAGTGTCTCGAAGGGGGCACAGGGTGTGCGGAGGGGCCCTCGGGGAGACAGGAGAGCGCTAGGAGAAAGCGCACAGTGGATGCGGGGGAAGCTGCCCAAATCGAAAGGTAACTCACGTCCACACTGGGAGCCGGAGTCTGCCTAAGAAGGCCGGAGGACTCAGAAGTGGCCCAAAGCCGGGGAAAGGGGCGCTATGAGGGTGCCCAGAAACGGCAATGACGCAGGCCGAGCCCGGGGAAGAGCATCGCGGAGAACAGAAGCAGCCCCAGGAAGGCCCACGGGGGAGGAGAGAGGCGGCACCGGTCCCCAAAGGAGGAGAAGCAGCAGAGTTAGGAGCAGATAACGGAGACGGCCCAACGCGCGAAGCGTCTGCTCCGGGGAACGAGGTCCCACTAGCCTACAAGGCAGTGGCTCGGGGAAGAGCATCCTTCGGTAGCAGCAAACAGCGCACGTCCCGGAAGAGCAGGCCGAAGGTGCCAGGGGACTGAGGGACCTGGGCCTAACCAAAGATGGCCCGGGCCAGAGCCCGCGGGAGGAAGGAAGCCCGGCTAGGGGCGGAGGATGCCGCCCCTGCCTGGAAAGGGACGAGGGCCGCGGAGGCATGGAGCGCGCAGAGCTAAGAGGGGCGCGACCCTGGCCCAGGGAAGGGATGACAGCATCGGACGGCGCGGCAGGGGCGGACGCGCAGAGGGCGCTCAGGGTCGGGAAGAGGGCAGCGCGGGGCGGCCCCGACCGGGGCGCGGGAGATGGGCCACACCGGGCCCTCGGAGGGCAGCGCGAGGGGCGGGCAGGAAGGGGAGG